ACAGATACCATGCCTAGTTTGTAACATCATCCTGGATATGAAGAGAATTTAGCAAATCTCTCACTTTTATTTAGGTTTTCTTTTATTCCACTGTAATGATTCCTTGTTTTGATGTGTGTGTGTTCCTTTAAATGTTAGTTTTTGACTGCAGTAATGCAAGGAGGGCGATGGGGGGAGATGTATGTGCTGTGATTGGTTGATGACTGAGAGTGTGGGAGGAGATGTTTGGAGAAAAATTTCTGTGTGTGTGTGTGTGTGTGTTATGACAGCGTTCACTGTGTGTGTCTTTGGAGAGTGAAGGGTGAAAAGCTTTAAAGAGAGTCTGTGAAGAGAGAGTGTCTATACGAAAAAGAAACAAGCTGTTTCTAAACTGTGTGATTAGACCAATGTTTTACCTTGTGTGGAAAAGTCAAAGAGTTTAGCCGGTTTGGCTACATATATGAGAGAGAAAGAGAATCCTGTCAGAGGGAATTTTGGTGACTGAGAAACTGATGTGACATCAAGCTTGCTAGTTATATTTTACAAGTTCCTTTTTTCCAGAAACCTATTTTGTTCTTATTTAAATAAATCCATTTTTGTTTAAATATATCCCAGAATTCAGTACAGTACTTCCTCAGGACCACATAGTCCTCTGAAGTGCCCAGACCCTGGGTCTAAATTCCTGGTGGCAGCAGAAACTACCAAGTTTATATACACAAAGTGTGAATTAAAAGGTAAAACTGTTTCCCCTAAAAGGAAGTAAAAGGTAAAGGTTCCCTTGCTCGAAAGCCAGTCGAATCCGACTCTAGGGTTGCGGTGCTCATCTCCGTTTCAAAGCCAAAGAGCCAATGTTGTCCGAAGATGTTTCCGTGGTCATGTGGCCGGCATGACTAAACACCAAGGCGCACGGAACGCTGTTCCCTTCCCACCGAAGTGGTACCTATTTATCTACTTGCAATTTCTTGCTTTCAAAAAGGAAGTACGTCACAGGAAAAACAGGTCCCCTCCCCCAATAGGAAGGACGCCACATCCACACATTGGCAAATGAAGACAGTTGACTTACTAGCACCTATTCTTCTTTCTTTTCAATGGCTAAACATCGTTTCAAATTGTATGTGTATTGTTCAGCCCTTAGCTTCAGGCATGCAGAAGCAAGTGAGTAGCCTTTGGATACAACCATACATCTTCTCTTCTTAATTTGCCAGCAAAGAAACCTGAGCCTTCGCTGATAGCTGTAATTACCTATTAGTATGTATTCCTTCAGAAAGTGAGATGGGTAAAATGGTCAATGACTGAGCTATCCTGCTTTTTTTCTTATACTGGCTCAGGTGGTAGGATAATGACAAAGGGACGTGCACATGAGGACAATTAAAATGGGAATATCCAAGATGTTGGGTTCTTTCACAGAGGACCAATCTTTGGCTTACATCTGAGGCGCATCTCATTATCAAGATATGGTATAGCTTAATCCACACTTTTTATCTGCTCATTTTCATTCTGGTGGGTTTTTCCTCCTGATTTACTGACCCGGAGAACCTTCATTAATTCATCACCATCGCTATTTGCTCAGCATTTCAAATTCTGCTGATGGTATTCATATGCCTTGTTCAAAGAATTATTGCCCTATGTCTCATTTTAGCTTTATTAATTTATTTTCCTTTTCAAACGCAGTCTGTGATTATTATTTTTTTACTCTCAGCTCAACAGCAAATTCAAGCTGTTTGAATTTACTGCAGCTGAAACTAACAAATGTTTCTTGTGTAGCTACGTTCAGCAAATAATTTTTTCCCCTGAAAAAGGTTGTACCGTACAACAAGCACTGGAATACTGAATGCTTCCTCATTTCAAGAAATCTCCTGTGCACCTTCTAAAGTTCTCCTTGTCATGTGGTGTCATGCATCTTTCTCATTTCCTTGTTTCGATGTGGATTCATATTTTCCATATTATTCTTTACAAGTAAGATCAATTCTATTCCCCCATTCAGCAAAAACAAATATAATACTGGAATTTAGTGACAATAAAAGTCCCTCGGGTTTCTTATGTTCCCTTAAAAAAGCATTGATTTCTCTGCTTTACTCAGCACAGGTGAATTTTCTCTTTCTGCAGTTATACGTTTGTCTGTTCAAGGGTTTCAGTGCTGACTGCATAAGGAAGATTGTTGTCAACAGCCCTCCTGGAACTCTGGCTGGCTGGCTGGTTGATTGGATCAGCCTCCATAAACTTCTTATTGCCAACAGAGGGATAGTGCTGAGAGTAATAACTCTTACAAAGCCCTACAATGGTGTTTCAATTGTATATTTCTGTGGTGAGGCCAGATTGTATTTAGACACAGAATTGGAGAGATTAGCCAGGTGGAACTTTTCAGGAAGGCAAAAGTTTCCCTACCTGGTTGCCTGAAGGAGACTGTGGGCGATTTCTCACTAGAGCTGCCTCGCAGCACAGCCGCCGTTTGCCCCGACACAAACATGTCAATTTCACACTCGAAGCTCCGGAGCTGCATTTTGACTCGCGGCTTCCCCTGATTTCCTCCGCAGTTTCGTGATCCTGGTTTTTGAGGATCTAGTGAGAAATCGCCCTGTGACTTGTCACATAAAAATGGGTTACTTAAAAGTCTGGTTTAACATACCTAGTTCTTGATTGTGCAAGAATGTTAAGAATAAAGATTAAGGAGTCTTGCGTCTGGCATTTCATAACCTCATGGCGGTGGGGGTGGGGGGACATTAACAGAGTCTATTTCCACAAAGAGGTTTTGCTCTGGCTTGAGGTCCAAGCTGAAGTGCTGTGTTGTTTGCAGCATCAACATGACATCATCCTCTTTTTGTCCTGCTTCTGTGTTTTTCCTTCCTATCCTCCAGTAGTTCCTAAGCCTGGTTTGCCATGGTCTCTCTGCAAAGATCACAGCCAAAATGTATTTGTGCATGTTCTGTCGATAAGAAATGAAGATTTTGAAAGTCCTGCCCACTTTAGTGCCATTTTCCTAGCTACACCCCTCAAGGTTGCTGTGTCTTTCCCTCCTCCCATGCAATGGGTGGGCTTTAAAAAAAATTGCAGTTGACATATTACTATGGTCCAATACCTCCTCTGAATTCCTAGCTTATATATATATATATA